TCGGGATAATCACGTTCTACCAACGAACATAACACGTTAGAATAATTTATGCATCGGGTTCGTATTGTTTTTAATGTTACGTTTCGATTTCTTTTTGTCTTTTTTCGAATACGATGACAACAATGAAAAGTAAAATCGTAACGATGCATAAAAATAAAAGGAATACGATAAGACGTTGATACGACGAGTAAAGCGAAGAAAAAGAGAAAGAGGAAATAAATTAAAAGAAGTATAATAAAAGGTGGAAAGAAAAGAGAAGAGGAAGAAGATCAGAAAAAAATACAAGACTCGAACGCTTATTATTCTTTTTTATTATTCTTTGTTTAATCTGATTAATTGTTAAATTCACATATTTCGCGAGTATTCACGTTGATTTTGTGCAGGGAAATCCAAACCTTCGACAGAAATGAACTTTAAAGAAACCCCTTCCATCTTTTTTATCAGTCATTTTATTAGAAAATAAAATATTGTACGACTGAGTTGGATCAAAGATTATACATTGATACAACGCGTTAATATTATTTTATTATAAATACTGATCATAAAAATGTTGAAAAATACTAACCCAATAAATAGAAATTTCAAAGAAATACAACGAAATGCGAATATCAAAATAAAAATTATTGTTTGCCGATAGTTCAATTGCGAATAATTTAATAACAGTTAATAAAAATAGCAGGTGCTATCTTAGTACTCGTAAGAGAGAGTTTATTACAGACGAGAGGCGTTCTATGAATTTCATGTTTGGAATGCGGAAGATACAGAGAGTGCTCTCTCGTCCATGGATGTCGTCCGTTCCCCCTTTTCTGTGTGCGCCAGCCCTCATCTCCTAAGCCTTTTCCGAGAGCATCACCGCGCTTCTTCTTCTTCTCCAATTCTTCCTCCTACGCTTGGGGACGATGACTTGGTTGGTACGTTGTCGTTGGCTTTTACGCGTAGAATACCAACGAATGACGACGATGACGAAGGGGAAACCCACGACCACTACGATGGGTGCGAACGAGAGTGAGAAAATCGCTTTAAGTTTCTTCTTTCCTCGTCGTAAAAGGCCAGATTCATTCTAATCTTGATTCGAAAATCAAACCAATTATTTCATATACATCTTTTTATTTTTTTTCTTCTTCTTCTTCTTCTTCTTCTTCTTCATTATCGAACTTTTTGTTTATTGGTTTACTCAAAAAGTTCGTGCCAATTTCTAAGGAAAATTTAAAAGCAACGCAATGTAAATTTTCCAGGCAACCCCCATAGAATCTAAGGATACAGGTACAAAACAAGGAATGTTATTTTAAATTATAAAATAAGTTCAATGCATATTGGTCGTGTAATTTTACTTGTATTTTTATTCTTCATTGCAGTCATGAATACCTTTCGTTTGCCCGAAAAATTCGTGCCGATTTTTTTTTATATGTTAAAATTTTTCTATAAATTGTTATGAACATTTAAGGCAATTCAATTTAATTTCTTTGCAGGTAGCTGATTTACGTGAATTCGAAGAGTTTTCCGAACTTTTTCCACATTTTGAAAGGCAAAAGTTATATCATGCTGCACTCAAGCAACACGAAGATAAAGGGATTCCTTGCAGGTATATAAATATTACAAATATACAGGGTATAACACAGAATAAGTAAGAAATACTCTATAGGGATGGCAGTGCATCAAATCAAGAAAATAAGTTCATATGAACATATGCCCTATTTGACCTTGTTTCGGAGTTATAGCAAATTGGAGTTTGGATGAACTGAATGCACTTACATTCACAAGAGGTGTTCAAAATGACCTCCTTGTATCTGCACACAAGCTTGCAGTCGTCTTACAAGTAATTGCCTCACTCTTTTCATATTTCCAACTATTGCTCGGATATGGTGGAAGCTTTGTACAATCCTTTCTCGAAGTATTTTCTCAATGTTTATGAACTTTTTATAGACAATGTATTTTAAATAACACCACAAGTGAAAATCCGGTAAATACAAATCGCGTGAGCGAGCAGGCCAGGCAATAGGACCACCACGATCTACCTACTTGTTTGGAAATCATTCGAAAAATTGTCTAGCTAGTTGATAAAAATGCGACATTGTGCATATATCATCAAGTGTGTATCGTGCAACTATGTGCGGTATCTGATTTCCAGTGGAACATCTTATTTCCGTTTATCAAAATAATCATTGCGGTAGAACACTATACGTATAATTCGTTATAATTCCGAAACAAGGTCAAATAGAACATATGTTTATAGAAACATTTTTTCTCGTTTTGAAGTGCTAAAACCACCCCTATATTATTTCTCCACTTATTCTGCAACACCTTTATATTTCTCTTAACACATTGTTAACCGATTATTAAATAAAACAAATCAATAGGTTTCACAATTACTATATTAATATTTAAATTAAAATAATACAAATTCTAAAAAAATTATTAAAAGCTTACACAATCTGTAAAACTTACATAAGTTTTTGGATGTGCAACATGCATCACGAGTATACTCGTAATTGGCCAATGAATGTGTTAAGATCTTCTTGATTTCTTGGATCTTTTTTTTCTTTTCTTTTCTTACACGTTAACAAGGAAATATATCGTATTTCACCTAATATGAACACTGCATTGCAGACGATTGCATACAGAGCTGGTTAAATGTGGCTCCGATGTTGAGTACTTGGCTAAAGTATACTGTCTTCGTCAAGCATACACAAAACTGTTCAGTATAGAATCATCCTCCGTTTGGATCGCTGATATTGGACGTCAAATAATTAGCGATTTAATTATTTATGCCGATAGAGTATGTATTTTCAATCTGTATTGGAGGGTTAAAAAATTTTAAATCTCAACATAAATAAAATTTGATTTTTCCGTTTAAATAAAAATGACAGAAAAGAAATTATTTCTTTCTTAGCTTGAAAACTTTTCAACCCATCCACGTATTTAATATAATCTAAAAATTATAATGTATCCTTTTCAAAATCATTGAGAATAATTTTGCTTATCTTTTGTTCCTTTTTTTTCAGGATCCGAAAGATTATTTGATACATTACGAACGCATGCTAGAGTTTTTGAACGAGCCACGAAACAGTGAAATGATCGAGGAGGAGTTATTTAACCGGGGTGTTAAATGTATTAATTTTTATGACGTACTAATTGACTTTATACTATTAGATGCCTTCGAAGAAGTCGAGAAGCCGCCATCTTCCATCAAGGCCATACTTCAAAACAGATGGATATCTGCGAGTTTCAGAGAAACGGTCAGTTAAAAATAATCAAAACAAATTAATATTAATTAACAATTACTTAATAAACATTAATGTTTATTTAAAATCGTTTAAATGCCGAATCTTTTTGTTGAAGGCTGTGGGAACAGCGGTATGGTCGATGCTGATGGGTAAAAGACAAATGTTGAAATATGACAAAGGTTTCTTGGCTCATTTCTATTCCATTTCGGAACAAATAACCCCGGTACTTGTTTGGGGATTTCTAGGTCCCGAGGGAAGCCTACGATCCACCTGCCAATTTTTTAAGGATCAGGTCATAGAATTTCTCATAGATATATTTAATTTCTTCAAAGTTAGATACACAACTATCGATAATCTTGCAGAGGATATTATCAGAGAAATGAAAGTAAGGGTTGAGAATATTAATCAAAGACTTTCCTTGGAAGGTGCCAGCCAAATTTAAAGACAAATTATTCATAGTAATTTAGATGCACATACACACAAATATATATATACATAATCTATAAAAAATATCTCTCTCTCTCAGAATGGTATAAAATTTATTCTGTAATATTTGATATTTATATTTGTTTTGTTTGTTAGAAAATTTAACAATTATGAATATCGCTATTAGACTATATTGTAAACGTGTAATATATATTTTTCTCTTTTTTTATGAAATATTTTATATTAATTATTATTTGATATATTTCCTTTTAATTTAAATATTTTCAATTATACTTAATATATTGAAATAACTCATTTCTCATCTCGTAAAATTTAATATCAAAAGAAAATAATATACATATTAATTTAGTTTCATTTATGCCGTTATAATATTATGAAAATGTTTGAAAAGACATTTAAATAGTATTATCATTTCGTTAAATTAATTTCAAATACCAAAGACAATTTATTATGTTAGTGTTAAATAGAAAATATTAAGGCATACGTCGTTCTCGAATTATTTTTATATATTTCAATTGTTAATACTTTCTTTTTTATATATAAACATTTACTACACAATAATATTGAATATATTTCATTGAAAAATGAATAATGATTATTAATGATAAATTGTTTTAAGTAGCTATTAAAAATTGGTAAAAAATAATGCAATGTGTCTCAAATGTGTTTTCTATTAATAGAAAGTGATTTGTTCTTATCGTTATTTTTATCATTTTCATTAATGTGTGTATTATTTATACGTTTATAACGATTGATTGTAAAAATGATGTATGTGTATATATATATATATTACAAGAATTATGTGCTACGCTAGCAAAAAAGATTTTAGTAAATTTTAGAGTACGCATTTTACCGGGATAAGTAGTTTATTTAACTCTACTTTATTTAATACGCGTCTAACATAAAAAAGCATATTCCATTAAGTTATAAGCAGTTGTATGCAGTATTGTACAACGCGATGAATGTAGGAACAAATCTGTAGCATTTATATTGAATATTAGTGTTCTAATAGTTCCTCAATACTAAGTAAATAAGATAATGTTAAAAGATTGTTTTTATTGACAATCGCATAAGTAATATCACTGTTAGAATATTTTATTACCTCGCATGAGTATGCATATATGTATATATATGCATTCTACAGAATTACTTTCCATGACTAATTTCTCACACTTTATACTTATATTATCAAGGCAAAACTTTGGAAGCATTTTTACATCCGTAACTTTAACATATTTTTATGTTAGTTGCTTATAATACTCGTTGAAAAATAATATACAGATTCTATATTAACAATTTTGATTAAATTGTAAGAAGAAAATATAATTGTCTTTGAATTGATTTTATTCTTTTAAAAATATACTTTACATTCTTAGATTTTAACAAGAATATTAAATTTTTATAAATTTTCAAACGTTTTTTTAAAGAACGTTCTTTTAATTTCATCGTATGATATATACGCTTGATCTTAAGTAATAAAATTATTTATTACAAAAAATTCATACTGTTATTTCAGAGATTCTTTCATTATTATTATATAATTATTACCCCATATAAACATTCCATAAAAATGTCAACAGCCTAGACACATCGAAACACTAGTTCCTATCAGATTACTAAAGTCAAGGCACAATCGGCATAGTTGTGTAAATTGATAGATAACTCGTACATAGGTAATGAAAAAATTGTGTGCTATTAACTCGCACTGTAACTCACACAAATATGGACTATGTGTAAGAAGATTTTTGTAGAAAAATGACTTAAAACTATAAAAAGGAAAGTAATAAAGAAAACATTCTATAAAAAAAAAATAAAAAAAACAAGAAAGAGCATTTCTTACTCGTAGAAATATTACTGAATTGTTCTAACCAAATTGTAAGTCAAGAAATTAAGATTCTACTTTAAAAATAATTTTCAAATATAAAGTGATTAATGTTATATTAAAAAATAATAGTTAAAAAATTGTTATAACTAGCAATAAATGTGTTATAAAAATATATCATCCATCCATTCATCAGAGGCCTCACTATCATCATCAACTATCTCAGGTAGAATATTTTCCTTGCGTAAACTTTCAGCTAACTTTGGGCTCTCTGCATTGCAATAAAAAGTTATAATAAAATAATAAACTTCAAACGTATACAAAATTTTTAGAAGGTGATTTAATTATTAGAAATTTACAATAGTAAAAAACAACGACATAATTACCATCAATCATTATAAGCCTATTTTCATCCATACTATAATTAGTTTCATATAAATGTTCTGTATCGAGAATAATATAAGGACATTTTTCTTTATTAATTTGTAATCTCAACCAAGGTAACCCTGCAACATAAAATAATACTTAGTTTTAATATTTATATACACGCATATATACATATATATATATATGTCATACTAAAACTGATTTAATAATTTTTATAAAAATTACATTTAAATGCTTTGGTGAGATTGATTTTAATTTCTCTTTCCAAATTAATGTGAGTCGTTTTTTCTGGTACTACGCTGCCAAATAGATACAAATTGACATAATATTCTTTGTCGTTTAATATGGTGCTAAAAATACATTCTCTTTTTAATGTTTTATTCTTTTTTTATTTAACATCTTAAAGTTGTTACCATCATAAATAAATTTTAATAATCCTCATTTTGTTACAAAGTGTTTGTACCTAAACTGTAAATGATCAACTTCGACTCTAAGAAAATAATCTTTAACATCTTGTAATATAATACGAATAACAATCGTAATATCCGTTTGATACCACATTATTTTAGGATTATTAAATAAATTGACAAGTGGCGGGCAATCCATAATGTTCGACTAAATTATAAACACAATTAAAAAACAAAAAATCACGCATACAAAATTTAAATATAATAGAAAATTTGTTTTTTGTCTCTTTAATCATAAAATATGTATTATAAGAGAAATTCGATAAACAATTGATCAGAATTATCATTAATATTTTTTGAGGAATTCTATATTACCGACATGAATTATATGATGGCGCTTCAATCGTTTTTTTGTTTCAAATGAACATAAGTAGATGTCGCTTTCGTAGCTACGATGGCCACGGTTTATAGAATATATTCTTTGTGTCATGGCATGGCAATAAGCCGGGCGTGATCAGGAGTGATCCTTGAAAGGTTTGCGGTGGTAGATAATAATAGATATGTCGAGAAACGACGGTAAAAAAGATACGTCGGCGTCAGCGTTCCGAAAAATAGATGTTGATCAATACAGTGATAATAATTTCAAGGAAGAGGATGCCGATGCTGGCTCGACGGGACCGACTGGTCCCGATGAAAACGAAATTCTGACACTTCTTAGCCAATATCCTTTCACGCATATAATTTCGCATATATATTTATCTTTCTATATATATACATATATTTATCTGTGCAATTTGAATATAGTTTAATTAGTAAGTTAATCGAATAGTTTCCTTAACATATTTTTAAGGGTAAGAATGCAGAAGCATTGATATCCGTTTTAAAATCAGCACCACTAGGATGTAAGAACCAACAGATAAAGGTAACCTCAACAAAATCTTCACTCTTCCGTCTTTAATTTTTCTTTATCTATTAACTGTTCTTTTTTTTCATTGATTAGAATCAATTATATAATTTGATTATTATTCCTTTTTTTTCTACTAATATATAACAATAAAATGTAATTAAAATATTTTTTATTAACACTGACATTAATGTTTCAGGACAATGCTAGGAATTTAACGCAGAAGGTTCTTCTAAGCATAAAATCAAATCAAATGGATGAATGTTTGGCGCAGTTAGACGCAGTAGATCATGACTTAATGGATGTATTAATGAAATATATTTATAGAGGATTTGAAATTCCAACAGAAGGTAGCAGTAATCACTTATTAGTATGGCACGAGAAGGTATATAATATTGGCGGAGTAGGTAGTATCGTACGTGCATTTTCAGATAGTAAACGTGCTTGAAGTATCTCTACTTTTTATTTCTTTTTTTTTAACAAAACTTTTAAAATTATTATTATTGTTAAGCTTTATTCCTCTTCTTCCTCCTCTTCACTGTTATTAATATGACACAAAGAAGAAAGCACGAGAAAATAGTCTTAACAAATTCTTATTTTTCTTATAAAGAGATACATCTATTTGCATTGTACGAGCATTGTTTTACAAAATAATTTTTTTTATTCATTTCCTTTGTAATCAATTAAATAAGATATTTTTTCTTATACATTTTTTCCTTTGCAAATGTTTCATCGTTATTTGTTAACGAGTAAAAGCATTTACAATTTTTGTTTGTTTGACATAAAAAGAAAAAGAAAAAGAACTAACTCCGACTAATGTAATATAAATAGTTGTAATATTAATAATAAGACAACAGTTTCTTTTTATTTAACATGTATATGTATGATAATTATACGCCGCTATTAGAAGCAGCCACTGTGGATAAAATAGTGGTAATCTATTTATCACGTTATACATATTATTTAAATATAATCTTCAAACAAGTAGATTCTACATTAATAGAATATTATATTACATACATATATATATATATACAGATATATATATATACATATATATATATATCGATTATTTTATTGTTATGGTATCACACCGACCAACGATCCCCGAAGAGCCATATGAATTTTTTATTCACATTTATCCTTAACGGTGAGCATTATCATGTTTGTTTGATGTATTAAATATAATGCGCTCACGAATACTGCATTTGCTCTGAAACAATGTCACAAATAGTGTCAAAGTCATTATACATTCTTATTTTAAATAATGTATTATATATATATATATATATCATTTCTCTAAGCGTAAAAGCAAATTTAAAAACAAAAACAAAAGATTACATGAATATATTATTCTTGTTAGTGAATATTATTATCTACCACGACAATTTAATTTTTAATATAAGTTTTCTGTAATTTTGTTGAAATATATTTTTCAAAATGTCAACTAAAAATGCGAGTTGTACAGAAAGAAAAGAAAAAAAGACAAGTATTAAATAAGAGGTGCTACTACCTATAAAAATAAAGAAAAGTGTATGTGATAGAATATGATAAATGTGTTCAAAATGTTCATCATACTTAAGTTAAGAGATTTGAATTATTGCACAATATTTATACAATATTTTATAAGAATTCTTATACCAAAAAAAAACTGATGTCCTAAATGTTTTAATGATTATATATACACATACACGTACACTCGAAAGTTCTTATTAATGAGAAAATTTATAAGTATAAAAATTGTATCTATCTACTTACTGTCCTTCCTTGAAGTATTCCTTCAACGTGTTACTAAACCTTTTACTATATTTTACAAACTCTTTCTTACGTTGCTCTAATGCTTGTTTTCTTGTCGAACTTGGTATAAATGCGGCAACCTCATTCACAGCATCTAATAACTTTTTTATCGCACTTGCTATTTCTCTGCAAGAATTAAATCAAAATATAACTTTTAAACTATGTAACATCAAGAAAAAACATAGAAATATAAAATTATTTACTTAATCGTTTCAAGAAACGTTTTACGGTCTGTTATTTCATCTGGAATACGACTCAATATTCTTTTCAGTGACATAGATTTACGATTTAATTCTTGGAAAGCATCTTCAGATCTAGCAGTCCGATACTCAACAACTGTAACAAAGATCTTCATTAAAATTTTCTATATTAATAGATTATTTTTAAATATATAATTGTTAACACTTTTATATTTATAAATAATTGTTTAATTCGCAATAAGATTTTACCGTCGTAATCGGAAGCAGCGCCTTGCAAGCGTAAAACGCTTTCGTTCATATCGAGATTTAATTCAGCCCTTTGTATAATTCCAAGAATGAGGTCGTGCATTATACCAGGATATGAATTTTCTGCTTTTGAGAGTGCAGTGCATAAAGTTTGAGCTGCCATAACATTTTGTCTCTCCAACTAAATTAAGGAAAAAGTATGACATACATTGAAAAAAGTACTATAATAAAGTCAAGAAAATTTTGTTGGAAATCTTTAAAATTCATATTGATTTTATAATGAATATATTTTTTGTAAATATAACTAAATGTAATAATAATTATTTAAAGATATCAGATCAGGTGATACCTTAGTTAAAATTGGCCGTAATATAACGGGAAGTACAAGAGATGTAATTGGAGTCTCATCGCCCATTGTCATCTTTCACTGAATTTATTTTCTTAATATGACAGTTCTAATAACGTCTTACACGCGCGTGCATATGTTTAATAATTTAATTTTAATAGGTCACGATATTACACGAATAGAGTATAATGCTGTTAGAATTATTCGACTATGTAACAGGATATTATCTTTTTTTCCTATTAGTCCTTTTTATTTTGTTTATAACTGGTAAGAGAAAATACCAAAGGTTATAATATTTCTTCTTTTTATCGTTTATGTCTTCTGATGGCTTCAATTCAAGACAGCGTTGCCAAACGTCAAAAGTGAAAGTATTCAGGAACATTTAGATTCGTATAGCCAACGACGTAACAACAATTTCTATCGTTTATAATTGTGTGTGTGTGAAGAAAGAGAATTTAATATTTAAAATATTTATTTATTATTTTAAATAGGGTATTTGGTTTAGTTTTTGAAGATCTTTGATTTTTTAAAATTCATTTATTTATTATATATAATATATTGATTATAGTTTTTAGGTTAACAATCTAGTTTTTAACAATGTGTGTTTGTGTTCAACTTTATTATTAAAAAGTCTGAATATAATATAATAATATGCTTAATTATTTATGTTTATTATTATAAATATAAATAAATGGTTATATTGATAAGAGTTTTTAAGTTAGAAACCTAGTTTTTAACAATTGTGTGTGTATGTGCTTAAATTTATTATTGAAAAGTTTTAATAGAATATAATACTATACTTTATTATTTGTATTTAATATTATAAATGAAGTTATTATATATTTAACCAAATATATTTATAAAATTAATGCATTAGTTTTGTTAATAATATTATAATTAATTAATGGATTTGTCCTGTTGAAAGTAGTTTTTGTTGGATCACAAAAATGAAACAATGAGTATGATTAATACTTGAATGCGTGACCACTTATAAACACCGTGTGCTATTAACTCTAGGGGATGAGGAGGTATTGTCAAGGCTCCTCAAATCTGTAAAAGGGGGAGAGTAATGAACACACTAATTTAATAATTTTATTTTTTAATTTCCATGTTAGCTGTTTTTATACAGAGCATATAAAGTTAATGATAAAAGTACATAAATTGTATATAAGTAAATACAATTTTTGTTTTCCTATTACTATATTTATATACGCATATGATAAATACCTAAAATATTATTTGCAATATTTCTATAAATTAATAACAGTTCAATAGATATTTCAGACTTTTTTTATATAAAAAGAAAATATTAAAATCGATGAGAGTTTTATATGGTGCACAATACTAATTTTCAATGTGCCGTATTACGCTTTTTTTCATATGTTAATCCAATTAGAGGCCAGCTGCTTGTTTAAAGCGAGCGTTGACATCTTTCCAATTAACGATATCAAAAATCGCTTTTACATAATCCGGTCGTACATTTTTATACTGAAGATAATAAGCATGTTCCCAAACGTCAATACCAAAGAGTGGTACGAGACCAGTTGTAGCTTGAAGAGGATCTTGATTTGCACAAGTTGCAATTCTGAGAGACTTTGATTTCTGATCATATCCAAGCCATCCCCAACCGGAACCTTGAACGGCTATGGTACTTTCTGATAAACGCTTCTTCATCTCTTCGAGAGAACCAAAATCTTTTTCTATTTGTTTGATAAGGGTACCTGTCAAAACATTCATTCATATTAAAATTGTTTTCTAAAATTATTTAAGTATCTTATCGCGAAAAAAAAAATTGAAAGGTCAAAATTGCATAAATAAAGAAAGTATGATAATATAATCAATTATTTCTTTTTTTCTTTTCGTATTAAATTCATAAATTTATACTAAATTTCTTTAATATTTTAAAAGATAGATAAGACAAATGGTAGATTATTTTTGAGCTAATTAACCCTTTGCACTATAACAACATTTGAGACTTGCGATACACTTTAAATGTAACAAACATGGGTCCTATATAACAGAATTTATCAGAACATAAACATAATATTGATTAATCACTAAAAAAGATTATAAACTTTGAAAAGAACTTTTGTAATGCATTTATTATACCTAAATAATATATTCTTTAAACGTACCATCTGGATTACCACCATGGGGCGACAGATTAGCCCAAAAGATACTATGATTAAGATGACCACCTCCGTTAAATTTTATAGCAGGAGCAAGCGCAATTTGTGTATTTACATCACCTTTGGCAACAGCTTCTTTCATCTTTTCTTCGGCAACATTTAAATTATTAACATAAGTCGCATGATGCTTAGAATGATGTAGTTGCATAATTTCTGCACTTATTATTGGTTCCAATGCTTTGTAATCGTAAGGTAAATCTGGTAGGGTATGTTTTAATCTCGCACATTGATCTTTACTGTGAAAATATTATAAATTAAATAATTACAGAATGAATTAATTAATATTTAATTATTTTAACTAATAATGAAACTAAATATTTTATATCATAATTACTTAATAGAATAGTAATCAATGAATAAGAGTATGACATTTTGAACAAAAATGTTTTGTACTGGTACTTTAGTACTATAATATTCGTACATTTTTTATTTAATTCAATTTTCTATTTAATAAATTAATGTAAATATAATGCAAAAATGATATCAAGCATTTAAATGGAATGAAGTTGATGGTAAAAAGGGTTAGAAATTATGTAATGCTTACTGCACAAATGAACAAATTTGTTTACGAAGTAAAATGTATAAAAACATACGTGATATTAGCTGTCACAATTCTCCGAATGGCGTACATTGTTGTTATTGTATAAGAAAAGAAGACTTTTTTTTAATTATTATGTTTCGAGTTTAAGCAAAGTAGAACCGGTTCTCGTTGACGTCTCGCGAAGCAGAATGAGCTCTGCAACGAGAGCGAATGAAACTAATAAAGTCAATGTATGAGTAAACGTAATTTCCAAATGATAAATTTCCTCTTAAATCAAATGATCAATGTTTATTTTATTAACGGGGTTTCCCTGTTACGAAATTAACAATGAGTGCATTTAGTATTTGGATCATAAAAAAATACCGACGACCTGGGGAAAAGTCAATTCATAATTTAACAGGAAACGCTAATAATTATTAAATTGTCAATAAATTTTCATTCGTTTACGATCAAATAAAAATAATAATTTTTTAATGAATTCATTAGTCGTTTATTTTTTTTTCGTATGTAATTATTTAATTATTCTGTTTTTTTTTTTTCATAGGGGTTTTTAGCATGATTGCAAAAAATATTACAAAATATACTTTTTTCTAATGTTAATTGAAATATTATAAGATCTTTTTAGCTAATAATTTGAATCTACATTTATAAATTTATTTGAAATATCGTGCGTAAAAGAAGCTTTTATCTTTTTACTCTGTTGGTAATAACGATTGGAAGTGCCATCTATCAGTAAGGAAGAGAAACTTCTTTATCGGTGGTTATCGACTTATCAATTTTTGCAATTTTTTCAAATTTTTTCCATATTACTAATGTGATACTTATTGAAATTATAAAACGTAATTAATTCATCATTGCACAGAAGTAAAAGTAGTTGTTTATTTCTCTTTTTTTTTTTTTAAATATTTAGGTACAATCCACACAAATATATACAAACAGTACTGGTCACATATACAACGATATTTTTTCAATCTTTTTAGCTCACATTTTAAATAGATATTCGCAAGCGAATATTACGATGATGACATAACGATATTGCGATCTACCGTTAGTCGATATTATGTAAAATATAAATCAGATCAAATATTACTGATCTGACTAATTCCCATATACATATACATGACTATTCCACGCCAGATCTGAAATAAATGGATCTTTCAAAATTATATAAAATTGATTAGGTAGACAAGAAAGCATGAAAATTTTTAACATTTTTCAAATCGTCACGATTTCATATCTATATACAGGTTTTGCATTGCAAATTCAACTATTCTCAAGTTAAATTCATCTTTCTGCAAATCAAATTGAGCTTGATTTTCAGAAGGATGAATTTTATTTGCAAAAAATTGAATTTGGAACGCAAGAGCTGTAAATTCACGAACAATACACTTTCAGTACATCTCTTTTGCGTACTATCTTTTTTTAATTAAATTAAATTAAATTATAACAAATAGAAATAGATAGAGAAATTGTTCGAAGAAACATTATATATTAAATGATTTCCTATATAATAAATATTAAATTATAAATATTATATCTACACAAAAATATCATTTATACAATCACACACATATTTATGTCCGATGAATATAAATTATTTGNTATATATATATATATATATATATATATATATATATATCTATATATGTATAGTAATAAGAAGCAGAACACATGGAAAGTAGAGTAATTTGTTTATAATCGTCAATAAGGATTCTCAATGTATCGATATATAAAAAACGTTATCTATGTCAGCACACATAATTATGTGCACGATTATTAAATACATGTTACATTTGTCATTGTCAATTAAATATAATTAATTACAGAAATATTTATTTAATCAATAAAAGTCTTTTTTTTTACGCTTCAAATTAATTAATCAAGCGATGCAAATGCATTCGCGTTATCTATATAAATAGATAAATAGATAAATATTCGATACAAGAGATTACATATATTGCACTATTTAAAAAATTATGATTTTACTTATGTAGAATAAAAATATCAAAGTATAGTTGTATACAATTTCATTTTTAGCTATTATTTCAGTTTTTTTTATTTTTCCAAGGAAATTTTATAGTTTTTGTATTTTCACACATACACGATGCAGTCGTGGTATTTGCTTTTATTTATTTTTCTTTTCCTTTTTGTGCTTTTTTTATATTCTCTTCCATAATTCGTTTTAATACTCTTCTAACGAAACACGCGCATCATTTGAACTTTCTACAAAATTTAATATGGAGTTTAGTCAACATTAATAGAATTGTATAATATCATTGTCAGTGAAAATTATTTTCAAAGTTACGAAAAATGTAATTAGTATTAAAAAAATATTTGTCTTCAAAAAGAAATACGTGGATGGGGTGAACAAAAGTTGTTGAGCCTAACGTGGAAACAAATTTTGTCATATTTTTCTTTTCTAGATAAGAATAGGCTCGAAACTTTTCAACCCAACCTCGTATTGTCGTATAAATGAAATTTTATAAGAACAAACGCAATTATGTATCGGCAGTTATTTCTTTCTTTCATTTTTTTTGTAAGTAATTTCTTATTTTTTCTTTTTTTTTAATCGTACAGGGAATCATAATTGAACCCAATTATTTTATCGTGGTCTTAAATGTGTCGATTATGTGTATAATATATATCTCTGTATAACTTGTTTATACTATTATTATTATTATTATTATTATTAATATTATTATTATTATTATATATGACACTCTTGTATTTTCAAACTTGTCGCTAAATATCAGCTAAATATTTACCTATGATTGTGTTTTTTTTTTTTAGTAATTAAGACTCGAATCTAAAAACTATCTGGGTGGGTTGAAAAGTCTTGAGCCTAATATAGAAACTATTGTTTTCCAATAAAATTTAATTTCTTTTTTATTTTTCGACATAGTCTGAAAATTGTTTTAAAAAAGAATAGGCTCAAAATTGTTCAATCGATCCTTTGTAACGTCGTCAAAATTATATTCGTAATAACACACGGTGAGCCAAAGCTACAATGGAATGTAATCGAAATACAATACGATTGTGCACTCGTAAGTGTATTTTTATGCATTTAAGTAAATATTATAATCGTAATTATTAAAAAATACGCGTTGTTAATACTTAATGTTCGATAAACATAAGAAATAGAAACACACATAAGTAAGTCACCAATATCATTGAATCTCATTTCTTCAAAATTTACATTGTTCGTTTCTTAAAAATTATTTCACGACATATTTTTTCCTCCATTTGATAATATATTGTCATATTTCCATCTTACGTTTATAATTGTAAGTTTTTTCTTCCACTATACCATAATACATTTACCTTTCATTGTCCTTTGTTATAATTTTTTTTTTCATAGTGGCCCCTTTTTTTTTATTTCTTCTGTTTTTTTTGTTTCCTTTTCTCTTATTTTTGTGTTTGATACGCAATGGATAAATAAAAGCTATTTATTTATTTATTTTGTCTTTATTATTATTATTATTATTATTATTAATAATATTATTACTTTTGTTTCTCATCTCTCTCCCTTCATAAAAACAGCTTGCAAGGAGTATCAATCATTTAAGTGGGTGGATTGAAAAGTCTTGAGCCCAACATGGAAACAATTCTGCTTTTTTTTTTTTTTTTCGGTCGGTTTACTTTTATTTCTTAGTTTTGTTTTTTTACATCGAGGCTAAAAACTTTTCAAACTAATCCTCTCGTTAATTGGAATAGTGGAATACTGATACAACAAGGCAGTACAATCGTTACAATATTTTTTTGTTCTTTTAATTCCTGTGATATGATATTTTTAATCATAGATTATACACATTTTATTTTCCCCCTACCCTACCTTTTTCACCCTCCTTTCTTCTCTGTTTTCTTCCGTCGTATTTAATATATTCATTCAAAACCCACTTTTTATTAGTAAGCCACTTAGCAAATTATGCTTTAGAACATGAATTCAGTAATCTTACTTTGTGCATTTCTATCAGATTAGAGCAACAAGGATATTATTTATCTCTTACACGAGAGACACATAAACACTTGTATACAATTTTCTTTATGCTTTGTTTGTTTTAAATATATATGTATATGCATATGTATAATTTTCAGAGTATGTGTGCGTTTGGGATTAGTTATAATTTCGTTAAGAATGAATTTTTTGTTCCCCGAAATTATTTATCATTAATATGTTGATTGACACGCATGTTTGACACGTTTTATCTTAGAGGCCACGATTCTAAGATTAAATATAAAACAACATAGCAACGCCGGGCACCGATGACCCCCATGGCCCCCCTCCCCCGATCGATAGAACAAACGCTGGTTTCCGGTAACCGACGTGACAATCAACATCTTCATTTCATCATCATCATCATTATTATCATTATCATCATCATCATCATCATCATCATCATATCTATTATTATATATTATTATTATTATTATTATATATTATTATTATTATATTCATTTTTTAAATAGTTTACGAACACAAAAATGGAGAGGGAAGCACAAACAAATAAATGAAAGAACGAAAACGCGAAATAATATTCTCATGGTTTTCTTTTTTTATAATAATTAGTAATAAAAGTATTCGAATATTTGTATAACTCGACGACGTGTTGTTGATTATTATATTTGATTAATTAAAACGTAATCTAACCAAAACGCGTTTTTGTTTTTCTTTCATTTAATTACACAATAGCAACATTTACGATTAGTTTTACATCAAATGGGAGATGCAGCAGATTATAAATGGGAATCCCTCTTTTCTTAGAATATTAGAAATATTTTGTTCTTATGTTTATTCATCATTTTCATATTATTGTGCTTATTTATTTTTTTCTTTAACGTCATTCAGGTTTTTGTTTGTTTTGGATATGCACTTGACAAAACTAATTTTGTTTTTTTCTTCTTCTTCATAATTAATTTTTTAGGCTAATTCTAAATCATTTGAATCATTTGCCTGGTTTTTCTAATTCTAAGATTAAATGAGTTCTATCATTTAATTAGAGAGACAATTTTTTCGTTTTCTTATTGTTATATACACTCAATGATCCGATTATTTATATTAAATATGGACAATTAATGAAGACAATCATTTTTATATTTGTCAAGGTAATTATGATAGTGACCTAAGTCAATAAATTATACAAATTTATTAGATGATTTATTTTATAATATAAATCACTTCAGTATCAAATTAATCATAAAATTCATTTTTCCAATTTTTTTTTTACTTAGCTCACTGTCATAATTACCGACATAATTATGCGTTTATGTATGATGCGTTTATTATCATATTATTATCATATTAATTGTATCTGTTATGTGGCAGGTATATATAATAGAATTAGTACCGGTAGAACATAAAAAACATAGATCATCTTGTTTGTATGATGCGAAATAATGAAATTCGTTGTTCAACGCGATTATCATTTATTTCATCAATACTGTAAAGGATGAATTTTAAGTCAAATGAATCACAGATATTCATTTTATTTTTTTTTTTTAAATATAGTATGATGAGGATTTATAGGCCAGTTGTTTTGTTTTTGAAAAATAAAAACAATTTCTCAGTAATTATTGTAAGCCAGTGGTTGTAAAAAGTTCGTTATTGTGCGAATTATGGGTCATATATTTTTATATTTTTGTAATAAAATTAAATTCGTTAGAGATTCGTATAATAAGATTTTACTTTTTGACTAATTATAAAACAAAACCTAGTCTTATGAGAGATAACTCACAATCAGATTTTTTCTCGAGTAATTTGAATAGAGGGATATTCTAAAAGGTTCTTTACCCAAAAAATAAATCAAAAATTCATATTGATTAATTAATAAAATGACACAGTGTTTAGTTTATCATTCCAAGATATGAATTTTTAGTTGAACTTTTGTTGAAAAATGAAGGGTCTACCATGTCACCCTTTCACAACAACAAAACATTAATCTAACTTTTGCAGTGTTCAATAAATCAACTTATAGTACACCCCCAAGATTTATATTAGATCGGCCAATAAATATATTTAGAAATACTGAATCCATGTGTAATTTTAATATCGTGTCATATATATATTTAAAGAAAATAATTGACCAATCTAATAATAAATTAAAAAAATAAAAACGCGTAAATTTATTCGAGATAAGTTCGTTGATTCTTCTTCTTGATATTGTTGTCTTCCTTAGTGGAAGATTGCCAAGTTTCTTCAGCTAGGCTACCATACCTTTGTACACCGGGGAATGGTTGGCCTATGCTTTGCGGGGAATAAGAGCTGCTTTGTAATTGATAATAATTACCAGCGGATATTGATTCGCATTGATATTGATCGTCGGCAAGTACGTTGCTGTAACCGGAGAATGAGCTACATTGGGACGATGAATATGACGAGGAATAACCACGTTCGCTTAAACTTCTATAAGGCCCCGGATGATGGAGCCTATCCTCTTGTCAGACTGCTGTGTTTACTGCAACGTTAGTTATGTATTCGATGTCACCGATACTTTTAACACGACGATGTTTCTTTCCAACGGTGATCTCCGGTGCCGGTGAATTACTTCTCACACTGTTCATGTATTGACATTGACTAGCAAGACTTCCGGTATCCGATGAGGAAGATGGCGACGCCTTTTCACTTTTCGGTCGCAGACCAAACGCTCGACTCAACGAACCCTGCGATAAACAATTATAAAACAAAATATTACTTTCATTTTCATTCGTTTATTTTTATTATTCGAAATTGGATAATTTATTATTTTTTTTTGTTTTTTTTCTTTTTAATAATATTTTTTCTTTTTTTTTCCTTTCCGTACACTTTTCTATTCATTTGGATAGTATTTTTTTTAATACTTTTTGTTCGGATATTTTTGAAAATAAATAATTAATGGATGTGACTGTCGTTTTTTTTTTTAATATGAATAATTATTTGTCAGTATTTATAATAGGTTTAAAGTTGTTTTTAGAATAAAATCTTGATACAGGGTAATAGGCATTGATATTTTATAAATACTGTGATTATCTATTTAAAATTAATTAATACCGAGACTACTTCTATTTGCATAATGACATTTTTATTATAAATACTGACTATTTATTTAAAATACTGATCCATTAAATAGCACGATTTTGTTTTAATTATCTTCTCACGATAGACGAAGAAGCTACGAGTAAACACAAGCACTTTACATACTGATTGGATTAATTATCCAAATTAGAAACTAAGGACAAAGACAGAGGATTGTATAAGGAAATTATTAAAACTATTAGATGGTTTCCTTTACATATGAAAATGAAAATACATAAAAATGAATGTTGATGATTTCATGTTAATAAGGATGATAGACAAAATTTGATTAATATATCTTTTTTTATATGATAGAAATTATTAAAGAATTATTTTCAGAAATACAATATATTAAAGTTCTAGGTTAGTAAGTCACGACAACAAATTAAACAAATTAAAAAGCAAAAGCACGTGCGATGATGCAGCGAAGAAAAATCAAAATATATTTTATTCTTTCCCTTTTTTATTTTAATGTCACACACATTAATTTTAAATCAACAAATTTACGTTCAACCAAATTTTTAGACAGAAAGAGAGAGAGAGAGAGAGAGAGTAAGAGAGAGAGAGTAAGAGATAGAGAAAGAATTACAAGTACACGAGAGAAAGAATGATAGAAATAAATTAATGGATAATAAAATAAATACACGTAAGATAAAGGATGGAAAAAAAAAAATAGAAAGTTACAAAAAAAAAAATTACTGATTTATATGATTAAAAAAAAAAAAGAAAAAGAAAAGTTGATTAATCTATTGTATTTTTTCTTATTTTTTTTATTGCCCATACCTGTGAGTTCATCCACGATAACTAGTAAAAAAAGGCGAAAGAAGGTCGATTAAGAACCCACACACGTTTTTATTCCACATTGAAATTATAGTTTATATTTACATAATCGTGGTGTATCAGGATGATTAAGGCTAATGGAACACCTTCCGTCATTATATATTCCAAAGTGATTAAATAATTATTGATTTCGGTAATGCGTATGCAATAATAATTTTATAATTCGAACATATATATATGTATATATATATATATATATATATATATATATATATATATATATATATATTTATATATATATTTCAATATCTACAGGGTGTTTGAAATTGTTCCGATCAAACGACGTAAGCGTATTCCTTGCACAAAAATAAGATAGTTAAATATTACATAAGTATAAATCATATAAAACTTCATTCAAAAGTTATGATTTCAATTATAAATGTTCGTGTTTACTCGACACCATGATTGTTCATAAATTTCTAAGCCGATTATTTTAACCTTTTCTTACGTTTATCTATGATGTTTTACTTTTTTGAAACGATTTAGCTAACCCTAATCGATATCTGTTATCTTTCAATTTCCTCGCGGAATATTATCGATCGAAATGTCAAAAGTATTTTCAAACCAAGAATATGTCAGACATTCGGTTACGCGTATGATTAGTGAGACAGTAATTACTCGAGGTTGTTGCAAGAGAGTATCAATGCAGACTTCCTGCTAGAATAATCAAACATCCTTCAGATTTTTCGATTGTGCATTAACAATTATGCGAAATAGGTTTGTTTGGACCAACAGCGGTGACGGACTTGAATTCGCGTAGGTTGTCGGTTCTTTGAACGAGAAATTAGATGATTTACTATTTATGTCATAATTTGTTCATAATGTTTTAAATGATCTACGTTTATGTAACATTTTGTTCTTATTTTCGTGCATAAAATATGCTCACATAGTTTGGTAGGAAGAATCTCGGACACCTTGTATATACCGTGTGTTATTATTATTATTAATATTATTATTATTATTATCACGTTAGCTCGCTATAATCTAAACTTTTTGAAGGATGCTGTATTTTTAATTAATCTCGTACAAGGCAGGGTCCAATCAGATACACAAGGACGACACACGTATATTCCTACACGTATATGTAATATATACAGAGTTTACAGAGTTTCTCGTCCGATGATGGTGCATTAAGATGCCAGAGTTACACGCACACGATTAGACCATTTAACGGTGTGACAAACATGGCTTACAGACGTTATTTACGATTAATTATTTTAATTAAATAGTTCGTTATAGTGTGTAAGGAAAATGCTTTTTCTTTCTTTCCTTTTTTTATTTTTTTTTTGTTTTTTTTTTGTGTTTATTTATTTTTTTAATTCTTCATTTTTCTTCAATCGAGAGTATTTTCTTTTAGTTATAATAATAATAGTAATTATTATTATTGTGTTGTTATTGTTATTGTTGTTGTTGTTGTTGTTGTTGTTGTTATTTGTTAGTGTTATTTTTAATATTTTGTTTTATTTCATTTGTTTGTTTGTTTGTTAACTATTTTTATTTTTACGTATTAGCATGAGCGCGAACATAGGCCCATAAGTTCGATCAGTCTTCTTCTATTTGAAAAATTTCATTTGTAGCTTTTAAAAAGCGAATTTACAATTAAAGTGACAAGAATATAAGTATACGAGCAAGTATACTCGTGCCAATAAAATTGGGACAGTAGATTAATTACAAAACTTAAAATATTGAAATAATATATGTTTTATCATTTTTATTTTAAAGAAATATTAAATTTTTTTAATATAAAATAAATCATGAAATAAATATTTTCCCATTTCGTGACTTACAATTAGTACAAAAAAAATGAAAAAATATTGAACCTATTTTTTAGCTTGAAACAAATTTTAAATTGTAATAGAAAGTAAATTATCAAACGAATTGTTTTCCTATTTTTTCTTTTTCATTTAATCGGCACACTTTACGATTGTTTTATTTTAAATATATCTTTTTTGTATATTTGTGCGGATCGATAGAGACATTTTTTAGGATAATTCTATAAACCTACAATCACCCTCTATAAAAAATCGGAGATCCGACGAACAACGAGTTCATTTTCAAAATTCTATTCTTCGAGTATTAAGCCGAGGATTTTTGTTTAACATTGAATTTTTTAACGTTCGCTAAACGACATTTAAACATTCTTTACGTTTACCTTTTTAGATTAAAAATCATTTTCTGTCTTTTTTATTATTTTTCTTCTTTGAGATTGACTGATTGATTGTTTAGCAAAGATAATGAACGAACGAAGCAAAGAAGAATGAATGTAAAATTATCTGATTTTATTTACGGTTGAAGACTCACGAAACGCAGTGATAGAAATCGATTAGAAATGAATTCTAGCTCATAGCTCACAGCACAAAGACAATTGAAATGAAATTGAGAAAAAAAAGAAAAAAGTAGAAAAATATTTAAAAAAAGAAAAAGAAATATTTAGAAAAATATATATATATAATTTATTTGTGTTTATTGGGAATAAATTTTTGATCATATATCTCCGTGCATCGAGTTTGAAAATGATTAATTAAGCGTTGTTTTATGTGATATAATATCAAAATGGAGGAAGTGTGACAGCGAAAGGGTGAGTAAGATATATATATATAGACAAAAATTAAATAAAAATTTATAAAACGTTGTACAAGCTATATTAAGAAATCTATGAACATGCTTATTAAAATATAATAAATTAGACTAGGCGAATTATGAAGCGAATAATGAACGAATATTTCGATCTTTTTATCTCTGTAACATGCACTTTTATATTATCTGTTAAACATGCGTGTGAAAATGAACAATATATTACCGCTATTTAATCGAAAAGCCCATTTTGTTATACTGTTATGTGTTCCGAATAACTAAATCAATCAATGGGACAAGTTACGTGAAATTATGAATGCATTTTAAATTCTAATTTTATGATACGAACTTTGAATTATTGTAATTGTGATAAAAATTATTATTTCTTATATAGACACTTGAATATAGACACAAGAACACTTGTCATCAATGATTTATAGTCAAATTTTAATCAATAGGACAAATTATAATAGACATTCGATTTCAAATTTGTAAGATAAATCAAAAATTATAATTAACAAATGTTAACATAAATATTTATCTCTTACCTAATAAAATCTTCCCTCCAACCAAAAAAAAGATATTTTATATTAATTTACAACTTGTCATCACAATGATTGAAATAGTATAATAAACAACGTACAAAAGACATTTGGTCTATATTACAAAAAAATAGTAGTATAAACAAGACAATAAACAATTCAAATATACTGTAATAATCCTGGTAATCCTAATACAGTTGTAAACGGACGAGACTCTTGTATCATTATTATAATACATTACCCTAAGACTGGATCTCCGTCTATCAACAGTGCCAACATGATTAGCCGTCATATGAAGAGCCGAAAGTGATGTTTGATGGTGTTGATGTAGTGCTCTGCTTCCACGATTTAGACTACCTCCAGCGCTCATGGTACTCATTTGACGACCTCTGACAGTGCTGCCCTTGGGGACCACGTCCAGTTGACTTCTACACATATGCACACCACGCTTCATGCACACCTCTGCGTACACGCTTTCTATTTCGCTTTAATATGCACACACTTTGGCGTCTCAGCGGGCACACATACACGTTCGAATACATACTGCAGCAGACCGTTCTATTTTTCCCTTTTTCTTTTCTTTCTTTTTCCTTTCTTTCTTCTTTTTTATTTATTTTTTTTTTTTTATCTTCATTTCATATTTAGGTTGCTTGGTGATTGATTATATTTTTTTAGGTCGATCGAATTGATTCTATCGAAATTTAAATGGGAAATGATTGGTCATAATTTTTTTTTACTCATGAATTGAAATTAATTTTTGATAAAATAATATTCCATTGGTTGCTGCAGCTGCTCGAGAATAGAGAGAGAGAGAGATAGAGAGAGATAGAGAGAGAGAGTGAGATAGAGAAAGAAAGAAAAAGAAAAAAAAGAAACATAATTGATATTTTCAAATGAATATCTAGTTACAACATAAATATACATACACAAGAGAGTGTTCTGTGCACCATCGATAATATATATATATATG